ACTTAATTTCCCAAAGCAGAAAGTGAATCCATCCTGGAGGGGCTTCAAGGAAAAAAAAAAAGGAGAGGAATCAAAAGCTCCAGTGTGTCCGTGTTTGTTCCTTGCAGCTGTGCATCCTCTTTGGGGGCTGAAGAGGCAGAAGGAAAAAGGAAAACAGCCCAATGTTCTGTTCCTCCCTCTGCAATTTACAAACGTGGCAGAGAGAGGACCATCTACCTTGATGTAAAAAAGAAAGGGGGGGGGGAGATGCCCTAGGCATGGAATGTAGGGAGACGCTTCAGCTCCATGGATGTGCTTTTCCTAAAAGGAACAAAGATGGTAGAAATTTCCAGAAGACCCGCTCTCGGTCCAGCCACTGCAATTGTCAATCTGTAACCTTTCCTCCAAGTCTATTGGTTCAAAAGCTGGAGAGAGAAACCCCATTGGGCTGCACCGTGAGCCTGCACTGCTGTCCCTAGCTAGTCCTGCTGCAATGCAGACATTTATTTTTTTTCCCCCTGAGTGAAACTGGAAAACAATGCTACCTTGAGAGCCATTAACTTTTACAGACTCATGTTTGGTGGTGCCCCCAGGATGAGAGGCAAGTGGCTGGCTTGCTCCAGGGCTGAGAACTTGCTGGGGCTGCACATGTGAAAACAGATCTTGGCTTTGCAAACCTGTGGGAGCCATTTTAAATGCAAGCTTTTGGAGGACAAATGCCTTGCCCTTAGGTTTCCTTCCAGCCCAACAAATGCACCATTATGCAAACACTGACAGCACCAAAGCAGGAGTCTTGTGATTAGATATTGCTTCCAAGGAGGCCACAAGAACCTCAATATGTAACTTCCATTTACAGCCAGGAGATAAGAACAAAGAAAACAGCTAAAGCCTATGAACTTTCTTGTGTGGGGTAGTAGCAGGCAAGCAGTTCAGTTCTAAGTATGTTACATCATTAACGGCCTGTCCTTTTACTCTAAGAAGCTGGCCTGTCTTGCAAAGACTTCTCAGCTTAGAATTGGGTACATTCCTCATTATTAAATGACCCTTTTTCCAATTGGTTCTCAAAGGTGGGTTGCGGGACACCAGTTTAAAAGAAGAAAGATTATTGACTCCATCACGTTGGCATAACACAGCAACCGAATATACTTCCAGCATTTACAGTCCTGCTGGATTGGTCTCCAGGCTGGAAATTTATGCAGTGAACTTCTAGGGAAATGCTGAAGCAAATGCTAAACAAGAAATCACTCTGAAGTTCTAGCTGCAGCCTTAAGAGATCAGGAGAAATGTAAAAAGTGAGAAATAAATCACAAGTCAAGGTAAGTGTGCACATACAGATGTGTGGGTCAGGCTTCGAAAAAGGCCGGGTCTGCTGTGTATGAGTCCTGAATCAAGACCAAGTTTGGTGGTGGGTGGGATTTTTACAGACATGTAAGTATCTTAAAACAGAAGGACTCACACCACCACCCCCAGCTCCTCCCCACCCCCATGTTTAAGGCTCTGTGACCCTTAAGACCAAGCAGTTTCCTTACATTTCACAAGCAGATCACCTACCCAGAGTTTTCTAACTAATATCCAAACAATCCCAATTCAAGGTCTCCAGTCAAGTCACAATGAACTAAACGTTTCTTCCCTGAGGGTAAACAGGAAGTATAATCTTCAATCCTAGCCCTAGGTTATCAGGAAAAACAGTGGATTCAAACAGTCACCTAAAATCAAGACACTAGGAAAAAGCCCTCCTTGGGTTCCTGCTCATAAAAAGCCCCCAACGGCTGGAGCCAAGACCCCCTGTTACAAACAGACCCCAAATGTTCGCCAAACTCTTTATACATGGTCACAGAAATGGATTGCTTTACTTACCCAACAAATGTTCAAGCAACCGTCTCATTTTTCCACAGTTAAGAAGAGAGAACAGGCTGGCAGATTTGGGACTTGATCAAAAAGGAAATTTTTTTAAACAGTTACACGGGATTATTAAAAACACACACAACAACAACACAACCCAACCACTGAATATGGAATGCTGTCATGAGCCACAGACATGATTTTATTTCCTCTGCACTCTATCACACAGGAGGACAGAGGATGATACAATGTAAAAAAAAAAAAGGGAAAGGAAAATGAAAACAGGAGAAAAGAGACATGAGTCCACTGTAAACCATGCAAGAGGAGAAAACTAAGGGATTCAAAAAGACTCCTCAGATTTATTGCAGGATGTTGTCCAACATCTCTCCCCCACCCCCCCTCCTACACTCCCCCCCCCGCCCCCCATCCCCATCCCTACTCCAAAAACTTCCTCCAAAGCCTAGAAAACACTTTCAGAAACATTTGCTGGCTGCAGGCTGGCTTTGCAGAAGAACACTCTGTATCAATAGAAGTCAGGAAAAAAGGCTGAACAATGTAGTTTCAAGTGAAGAAACCCTGTAGGAAGAGAAAAGACCATGGGGAGTCACCACCACCCACCTAGGCCCCAGTAGCTAGGATCTGTCCTTAGCACTGCTCTGCTGAGGGCTTGGTTCTTTTGCAAACACACGTCCTCTCTGGTCAGAACTGAGTCCAGCCTTCCCAGCACCTCTTTGGAGAGGTAAACTTGCCTGCTTTGCTGTCTGCCATGAGCTCTCCTTGGAGGGGAGCCTGCTTGCTTACCTTCCATTTTCTTCCCCCAGCAGGCATGTGACACAAGAGAAGACAAGAGTGCAAGGGGGAGGGGGGGGAACTGCTCAGAGAAAGAGAGAGAGAGGGAGAGAAAAAGAGAGAGGAAGGAGGGGGGAGAAAAAAAAAAAAGCTTCTTTTTTGGCAATACCAGGATCTAGCTTCACACTCTTCTAGAAACACCATGTCCTGGTGGAAGAAAAGGTGTGCCAGGCCCTTGCCAGTTTGCAAAACCGAGCTCTGGCTAATGGCTACTTAGCCATGTGACCCAAGAAAGCAAAAAAAAAAAAAAAAAAAAAATCTCTAAACAGTTCCAAGTTAACCTAAGTGCTGTAGGGGTGACTGTGGCACAGCCAGCCACAGAGAAATCACACTGCTCGCCCACAATGCGGATGTCTCAGAGGGAGGGGGAGAAAAGATGGTTAAAAAGTCGAGCTTACCTCTGTGGATGCATTGTTAACACTGTGTAATGTCAATACTTATAAAACATGGAGGACAGGCTCCTAGTTCTCACAGAAAAAGGGTTTGGCACTTCGGCTTGATGATCTGGCCGCCTAATAAAAGCTCATCCCCGATTGGCTGCCCCGGCAAATCGGAGTGTAAGGCGGCCCCGGATTGGCTGAAACACTTCCTGAGCGATTATCTTTGTGAGGCTCTGGTGAGCAAGAGCCATCCTGTGCATAGAAAAAGACAGGCTAAGCTAGGCCTTTTGCAGCAAGAAAAACTTAGGAAAGGGGCCCGCAGTCGCCCTTCTCCCACACCCTGGCTAGATTTCGCGGCACGAGCAAACCAGTGCAGCCAGCCTGACCTGCTCCAGCAAAGCCTGAGGCCCAGAGGCCACAGGCAAGAGAGTTTTGGGGGTGAGCTGCAAGGGCTCACCCTCATCTGCCCCCACGGAAACGGCTCTCTCGCTGGGAGGAAGGCTGGCTCTTTTCTAGAACAATCCAGCAGAATGTTCTCCCCACCACCCGCGGGGGGCGGGGAAGTGAAGCCAAAGAGCAGGGAGGCCTGGGAAAACAGCCCAGGGGGCAAGAGAAAGAAGCTGGAGCCAGGCCTCTGAGGCAAACCGGACGGGCCAGGCGAGCCCCCCAAGTCACTCCAGGGCAGCCCTGGCTTCCCAGAGGACAGAGCACTCGGGCTGAGAGGGGAGGAGGGGAACCAAGTGGTCAAGTTTGCATCGTCATTATCAAAATGCCTCCTGGACAAAGCAGACCAGACAGCCACTTGCCTGCCCCAGCCCAGAATCGAACCTGTCGTCACCCCACCACCCCCAGCCAGAACTCAGAGGAAAGCAAAATGGGTTCCTGCCTCCCTGCCAGGATGCCAGGGGGCCCCCCTCCCCATCCTTACCCTAAGAAAAGCCAAAGGCGCTCCTAGCAGGCCACATGCCTAGCTCTACAAACTTCCCTTCCCCTGCCCAGCCCCCTCCCCCAGCGCTGAGGCCTGCTAAACCTGTCAGTTAAACAAAAATCTGACTTCCGTATTAGTCTGCGATGGCTTCAGCTTCCTGCCTATTAACCCTCTCTCAGACTCTGGGCCTGGCTGGGAAAAACTAGGCCCTGAGAGCGCAGAAAAGGCCTGTGGAAAAATACCAGCGGCAGCTCTCCCGGCAGATGCAGAAAGAGAGAGAGAGAGAGAGAGAGAGCCGCTGTCTCTCGCCTTGGCTTCCCAAGGAGGCGTGTACCTTCTGAATCCAGGGCACAGGCAGTGCCTCTTGGGCTGAGAAGCCATTTAAATCCAGAGGGAGAAAGAAAGATGTCAAACTCAGCCAGGGAACAAGAACCCCCATTATTAGTCAGGCCTACACCCACTGCTTAGACCTTCCTGCCACACAACCAGCCCTGTAAGGATGTGCCTGGGAAACTGGGCCCTCGGTGGCAGAAAATCCCATGAGCTTTGTAAGGATTCTTGCTTAAATTTATTTCCACAGAGAACGGCTTCCTCGGGTCCCCAAAGGCAGGTGGAACAGCTATTTCACACACAGCTCTACCCCACCCCCATCTCTCTGGCACTGTTTCCCAGTAAAATATTAACTACTGTTGCAGAACTGCTTATAATTCCACCCATCTCAATAGTATTAGGAGGTCTTTGCCTGTTTCCTCCGTCAGGCTGCCTTGGTCGTGGGTCTGTAGCCTGAGAAAGAAAAGGCAAATCCAGAAGGATCTTAAAGCATCCGTGCTCACTTGCTGATGCTTTTTTTTTTTTTTTTTTTAAAAAACAAGGTGCTTAATTAACAAGGTTTTTTTTAAAACAGCAAGCGGGAACAACAGAAGCTAAATAAAACACCATTCTTTAGAGGCTGGAGAAAGCTTCCAGAGGTGACACAGCCATATGCCAGGAGGTAAACCTATGGCCCAATAAAGTCTCCCCTTCTCCTCCTAAAATTAGGACTCGGCTTTCTCATCCCACACGGTTTGTTGCCACAAAGAAGCCACAAAGAAGACGGTGGAGCTGAGGCCCTGCTCACCCTGCCCACCCCCACGTGGACGACAGATGCCCACAGTGTGTACATAAATTCCTCCTGGCTGGGAACTTCTGTCAAACAGGAGCAAGCCAGGAATCCAAGCACACTGTACCGCAGGGGCAGGGCCCAGGCTCTAGGAAAAGGGAGAGGATTCTGTAGCCGCTGTTGCTGAATTTTAGGCTGAGGAGGCCGGGATGCAGGCAGGGACACCTCCACCACCACTCGGTGGCCTGACAGAGGTCCAGCATTCAGGACAACAGGCCTGGGCCTCACCAGAAGGGAGGGGCCTCCTCTTCCTGGGGGTGGAACCGTGTACGGGGAGACCAAACGGGGGACAGGAGGCCAGAGTTAATCAGACTGCGCTCTCCCTCCCGGCAGTTCGGGGCAGTGCGGGGCAGTGGCCCGGCACCACCATCCTATAAGGGATACTGTTTGTGTCTGTTGGTGCTGCTTTGGGGAGGACAAATAGGATGAGTTTGTGGCGGATCTCGTGTACAACTACCTGACCAAGCCCATGAGGAAATAAAATACGGTGCTGGTTGGCGTGTTGGATTTTAGCCCCGGATTAAAGCCGGTTGCATAAGCAACTGCAGCATCCTCCCCCTCCCTATCTCCCTCCCCCTGATCACTTGATCTCTTGAAATGTTTTCTGGGGCAAAGAGCAGGAAGCTGCCGGCTTATTCTGGCAGCTCTGCTCTGTTTGAGGAATGCTGTTGGCATTTGGGTAGGTCTGAGGTTATCTAGAAAACAGCAATTCGGCTGGGGACAGAGACAAAGGTATGGTGGCAGATGGAATCCTGGGAGGGACACGGATTGAAAAAGGCTGCCCAAGGCAGGCCTACTAAGGGCCGATCCTGGGTTTGATGGAATGTGGCTGATAAGCAGGGAATAAAGAAAACCAAATGTTGCTGGCCTCAATCTAGAGATTGCCCCTCTCAAACCCCCGCTGCACAGAGTAGTCCCAGCAGCTTCTGCATGCCTGGCACTGGCTAAATCAGCACTTTACACAGACTGACTCCATGAGGTAGGGAGCACTGTTAGAGAGCTGGAACTGAGCCCAGAGAGGTGAAGTGAGCTGCCCAAGGTCACACAGCAAGCCAGTGCCAGAGGTCAGACTTCCAATCCAGCGACAACTCCACATCCCTAAACCCTGTACTTTTCCCTGCCTCTAAAGAAAGAAATGAGAAGCCGAACCAAGCAGAACAGAAACAAGGCTAAAATCTACTAACGGCAACTGCATGATCTGTGTTTTCTTTTAGGAGTTGGACTCCTTCAGGAATGTTTTAAGTACTGAATGATGAACCTGGGAGATCTTTAGATCGGAATCATTCAAAGGCCCAGAGAAAGCTCCTCTCTCCCTACAAACCTCCAGCAAGATGTCGAGGGGGACACTTTGCCATCTCTAAAATCAGGAATATAAAAATTCCTTGAAATCAGTGGTTCTCAACCAGGGGTGGTTTTGCCCCCCAGGGGATAGATGGCAATGTTTGGAGACTTTTGGGTTGTCACAGCTTGGGGTGGAGAGGTGCTATTGGCACCTAATGGCTAGAGACCTGGGATGCTGCTAAACGTCCTACCGCACACAGGACAGCCCCCAGCAAGGAATTATGTGATCTAAATGTCCACTGTGCCGAGGTAGGAAACCTTGGCTTAAGTGAAAGGAAAAAAATCCGACCATTGTGCCTCTGGATAGCAAAGCCAGCACAGGCCTAAATAAGCAGGTTCCATGGTGATATGAATAAGCCATGAGCTAATAAAAATAGATTAATACGTGTCTCTCAATATTTCCAGGAGTCAGAGAGAATCTGGGGATAGAATCTGTCTGCAGGAAGCCAGACAGAGTGTCTCAGTGATAAAGCTGGCCTCCAAGGAGAGCAAAGGGCTGACCCCAGACCCCCTTCCCCAGGCATCTTACTGGCCGAGGCCTGGCCCCACTGAAATGGCCCGCAGCCAGGCCAGCAGCAAGAGCGGCAGCCTCAGCAAGCTGCATCCCAAGATAGTCTGTTCTGCTGACTATGAAAATAAGCACACTTGGAGTTATCTGCCTTCAGTGAGCAACAGGCCTCTCTGTCCGTTACGTGAAACGGCTGGGACTGAGGCCGGGAAGTGTCTTAAATATCTTGTTTTGTTTTGTTTCCTTTTGGCCAGTTGGAACCTAGGCCAACTTCGGGCACGGTGACAGAAGGGCTCACCTTCAGAGCACGGAGCTGACCGTGTCATGTTACAGCCACAAAGAGGCAGTTAGGACTCGCCCCTGCCTTGGAGAAGAGGTGTCCTCTAGAAGTTTTTTTTTATTTTGTTTTCTTTTTTTCTAGAAGGGATTGGCAGGATTACGCTAATGGAGAAAGGAGGGAAGGAAGGGCAGGTGGAAAGAGGGGAGGAGACGGTACTTGACCATCAAGCAGATGGCGGCAGTGTGGGTGGGAAGAGATGTAAGTGACGCAAGAAAACACAAATCAGAAGGAAGAGGGACTCCCCTGACGGTCCAATGGTTAAGACTCCGCATTTCCACTGCAGGAGGCGCAGATTCGATCCGTAGCCTGGGAACTAAGATCCCACGAGCTATATGGCGCAGCCAAAAAAAAAAAAAAATTTGGGACCTCCCCTGACCTGCTCTTTTTATATCCTAGCGATTACCATTATGGAAAGAAGCGCACATATTTATTTGCTCTGTTTGTTTCTGTCTCCCACTAGACCAGTGCCGGTGTCTGGAGACATTTTAGGTTGTCACATCTGGAGGAGGGGTTGGGGGGGTGCTACTGGCATCGAGAGGGTGAGAATCAGGGATGCTGCTAGATTCCCTACCGTGCACAGGACAGGCCCCCACAGCAGAGAGCTAGCCAGCCCCAAATGTCACCAGGGCCGAGGCTGAGAAATCCTGCATTAGCCTGAGACCTTCAACAAGGCAAAACCTGGTCCGAATCCTTCACCATTGTGCCCTCAGTCTAACACTGTGACCGATATGTATTAGAGCTCAATTAAACATCATC